TTATTATCTATAAAATAATAATATATATATATATATATATATATATATATATATATATATATATACACATATATACCCACATACATGTATGCTATATATATATAAAATATATATATATATATATGTATATATATATGTATTTTTTTTTCATATACTACAAGATATCAATATTTTACAGTTTTCTAAAATCAATCTTACATTACAGCACAAATTCAGTTACTTGTTTGTCGATATTGACAAGTACATGTGATACAGATTTTCATAATTTAACAGAAAAGAATTTCACGTTCATAGACAAAATAGTGTCCACTACATATGTATTTGTGAACCAGTCACAAATACTAAATTGGAAATGTATATTCGTAGCAATTCAGATGTAAATTGCAAATTCTTTGTTTCTAATCTGTATAGCGTAAAAAAAATATTTAAATTTTATCTTACTATTTTACTTTAAATATTTAATTAGATGTAAGGCATACTTAGGTAAAACCTAGGGAAAATAATTTGCACAGCCGATAAATGGTAGAAGGTGATATTCTTCTGTAATTTGAATTTGCAATGTGATAATTTATATATAATTATATTTATGTATATGAATGCAACATTCAAAATGATATATCTCAGAGATGTGATATTTAAATGCAACTTTGCTTTCTGTGATTTGTAGTCCTTCTCTTGATTTAAAATACTGTATTGTAAGAAAAGAAATGTATAAAATATTATAACTATATTTAATATGTGGTACACGCGACGTGTTGCAATTGTGATTACCTCGCGACAATTCCTGAGAATTATATAACATGAGAAAGGTAATGGAAGAGTATTAAATGTTGATACGCTTATGTGGTGTCATGTGTTATCGGTCGCTACTTCTTCGATTGTAGCTCTACACATTGGACACTCTATCAATTGATTCGAACACGTTTGGCAAAATCCTCTGAAATAAAATTTATTTTTATTTTAATAAGATAATTGATATAATGTAGTAAAAAAAAAAAAATAATGTATATATAATACCTATGGTTGCATGGTAGCAATCTTACTGAAGCTCTTTGGTCAAAACATAATGTACATGAATCCTCTCTAACGCTAAGTTTCCTCAATTGATCTAGATATATGTGTCTAGGAAGTACAACTTTATCTTCAGGCTTCAAACTAGCATAATCATTAAATTTTTTATATTCGCGATCGGTAGGAGGATACTTAAATGGTACATTTCCAAAATTAAAAAGACATTGCTGGAATGACATAAAACTAGCTGCTGCAAAAAATCCAGACCTAAAATATTTAAAAAGCATTCATTATACACTTGGAATACTGTGCAATTTTTTCTTTTTTTTTAATTATACAATTACACAAATACATACCGTACTGTTTTGAAAACTTGAACACATGGTTTCAATGGTACACCATTTATGGAAAATATTATTTCCAATTTGTTCAAATCTAATAAACAACCCAAAATATCACCAGCTTTCCAACAAGGTCTATCATGATTTCTTTCACTCTTTGCATTATACCAAATTAATCGACGACAACCATCATAGGCCAAAGAATATTCATCATCCCCTATGCCATATCCTTCCTATAATGATAAAATAAAATATGTGAAATTTATATAATATAACCATTTGCATTACATTAAGGACACAAATGCTTACATGATTTAAAAATGTGCTATTTTTAGTAGCCCATCCAATTTGCATTACTCCTGTAGTTATAACAAGTGTTTCATAATACCAAATTCCCGAGTCTACTTGAAATGTACATCTTACACTTTCAAATGAATATGCATCACACCGAGCCTAAAAGTGTGACGAAAATATGAATAATAGAAATATTCTATAATATAATATATATCTTATAAAACTTACTTCTAAGCCATTAGGTGATATTTTCAGGTACTCGCTTACATCCTTTGTGTTTAACATTACATTAATACCAGACATATCAACTGAATCATGAGAATATTTTCTACCTTCCATTATAACTATAATAATAAAAATAATATTTATAAATTTAATAATTCTCCATTACAACATACGTTTATATATCATACAAAACAAATATCTATTACTTACGCAAATTGTCTAAACACCATCGCGCACAAAAACCTACTTGACGACGTACATAATGAGTTTCTGTTGCCCACTTTTCTAATTCTAATAATGGATTTGGTTTCTCTGCCATTAAACGTTTTTTTATAGTTATTTTATTCTCACCTAAAATAAATACAATTTATTTATTTTTTTAAAATGTAAATTATTAAAATTATCATTATTTGTATTATAAAATATTGCACGATATAATAATATTAATATTTATTTTATTTAATATTTTATATTAATTTGTATTTAGTATATATATTTTTATATATACTATACTTACTTGTCTGTGCAAATTTTTCCAAGGCTATTAATGAATATAATACCACATAAGGATCAATATTTTCCTTCTAAAATAACATATGAATTATAAATGAAATTTTCTTAATAGATTTTATTCTTTATAAATAATATTCATTCACTTACAAGATTTGAAATAAGATAGTCCAAAGTCTCATCAGATAATATAGCAATACTACTAGGGCCAGTTAATTTTTCTGCTATACAACCCAATACAACGCAGATATTACGTTGCTGAGTTGCACTAGTCTGTATATTTCCAAGTTTTTGAGATAATTGAAACATGTGTGACAATCGTAAAACTAATTCCTGAAAGGTTGAAATATCTGTGGCAAAAATTTCAAATATCAAATCATGTAATATAAGAAATATAATTATACCTTTGATGGCAATGGACAATCATCTAATAAAAGAGTAATAACTGAAGGACCTAGTGGATTATGCATAGGAATAATATTAACCATTGAACTAACAACTTGTATCCATCCATCTTCTTTATCAGCAATAGCATGTAATTTTAACAATGCAGGTGGTGGTTCTTGCTCACTGAATATAATATCAATATAATCAATTAATATATTTGATAAATGATATATAATTTATTTTAATTTATATTTATATAAACATAATAATAATAATTATATAATTATTATATATAAAATAATTTATAATTATTATAAAACTCACTTATCAACAAGAGAACCAATTACTCCAAGAGTTTCAAGTACTAATTTGTCAATGTTAGCTGAAGTTGGAATTTAAAAGTTGTAATGTTCATATCATTAGAGGCAACTGTGCCTACATTTGATTCTGGTAATATAGTATTTTCAGTGTTTGCATGATTATGTCCATGATGTACTTCGAGTTCTTCTGGGATATCTTTGCACAAGCAATTGCCCATTCCCACACGTTTATAAAGATACTTTTAAAGATATTTTATCACATATATTCATTAAGTAATATTTACACAATCATATAACATGTGTATCATTAATTGAAAATGTATCCAATGTAACTGAAAACAATGTGTTTTTTTAAAATAATAATATTTATTAAATATAAATTTACACATATAAATAGAAGATTAAACCTTGAAGATTAAACTTTCTTATAATTACAAAATTTTGTTACAATACATACTAAAAATATAAAATCATAAGAATCATATTCCGTTATAATTAACTAAAATTTTTATTCATATTCTTGATTCTTTTTTTTAAATATATAGATAAATACAATTTTGATCGAAATATTTACCGAATAAAAATCAGCTTACAATTATAATTTTATATAAGTCAAGATAGCCTATCTGTAAATGAAATAAGTTTAATAATAATCATTTAAATAATTTATAATATATTATAATATATGTCTAAATATTACATACGTGTTTGAAAGCTGTCATTTGGTTATGTTTTTATCAAATTAGAAAGAAATTACTCAATTTCTGAGCAACTTTTCTTGATTATCTATTTCACATAATAATTTCGAAAATCATATCCATCTTTTATTTTTTACAATAAAATAAAAATTAAACTTATATTATACTTTAAATCATATTCCTTAGGTTATGTTCTTGATAATCTTCAAAACAGTAATCTTAACATAAGAGAATACACGAACTATACTATATTTTACGTGAGGTGATCAATTCTAAATCATATATGAGATAAGCCTTCTACGTCAATATGTCTTTTTAACGTTTTATTTAATTAATATTTTTTAAATGATAATAAAATATTTATCAATATATCACTTAGATAATGGCGTTGAAAATATTTTGACAGATTTTTCATATAATTTTATATACGAATTTTAATTGTATAACTTGTAATTAACTCTTCAATTGAACAATATATGCATGTATGTATATATATATATATATAATATATAAATACATAATATTTAATAATATGCCAGTAAGAATAGTTTATATACAATTTTATACGCATATAAGAAATCTTATTTTATTAGAATAACAAATTGAGAAATTAATATATATATATGCGAAATTAAAAATTATATTATTTCATGAAATATTAAAGTAAGAAAGAAGTTTTTTTTTACTACTATTTTACTATTATTGTTTTTTATTATTTCATATCAATATCAATAATAATCATGAATATAAAAAGATACATTTTAAAATTTTTACGAATAAAATTTATCTCAAATATTACTTTATTTTTTTTTTGTACATAATAAAATTATAAAAGTTTAGTTTTATTTTATTTTTATGTATAATACTCGAAAGATAAATCTAATTAAAAGAGATATAAAAATAAAAGAAAATTTATTTAAAAAACAGCCGCCATATCGAATGATAATCTGCGTTAAAACGATAATATATATCGAAGAATCGAAATCGCAAAGTAGTCGCGGTACGTCTGGTACTTTCAAGACGAATTTCTTAACTAACATCAAAAACGAATTTTTGATCGTTTTCAAATATTATAAAAAAAAAAAAAACGTTATTATTTGATATATATGAATTTAGAATCACTAATTGAATAAATAAATACTTTAATAGAAATCGTCGAATAATATTTTTTAATAAACCGTGCTATGCAATCACATGGGGATGGCGAAAGAATGTCAACGATCAATAGTATTACGAAAATGAATTGGTGATTCGTACGTTGAAAATTTTGTGCACAACATGGTGTCTGGAGATCACGAAAGATTGCTGCCGGAACCGGAAAATTATGTGAAATGTTTTTATGACCTTTTCAAAAGTATCGCAGAAGCACAGAGGTGCGAAATGTGTATAACCTCCTTCCAGCTTTGTTTACTTGACGCTTTTGGCGGTGACTTCATCTGTCGTTTATTAAACTTAATAATTGCGATACAAATTTCGATAATCTTATCATTATTTTTGTTGAATATATCATTTAATATCATCGATTTTCTAAATTATACTATAATTTTTTTAGATGTTTAAAGTAACCTAAAATTATTTGTTTATTAAAGTTGGTGTATACTGTATTGTCATTTTGACAATTCTCATACGAAATATATAAAATATATTGATTTATGAATTAATTTATGATTTATATTTTAAATAATTTATTTAATGTCAATTATTTATCTAATCTAATCTAATGAAAATCTCTGTGAAAACATATGATTATAGGTATTTATCAAAAATAATAAAGATTTAATATTTTTTCTTAAACATTTATTTTTACAACATTTTCTTTTATAATTGCAAATATATAGATTATTACAGAAAATTATTAATATAAATATTAAAATTAAAATATAATTGCTACGTCATATATTTTATATTTTAGAAACAAAGAAGAATGGAGAAAATGTAAGAAAAATAAATCTATTCGTAAGAGGGATAAGAGAAAGGTATTATTAACTTTTACTTATGTTTTATATAATTTTTTTTTATGCTTGTAATTACTTTGTAAATTACAATTATATTTATAATTTATAGATTGATTTAAGTGGAGATTTAAATTATAATAATCCACCAGAGATAGAATTATCTTGCAATGCTTCTGCATTTGCTGTATTTGCTAGTGTTAGGAGTGCTATTTTGGAGAGGCATACTAGAACATCAAATGAAGTTTATAGAGTATCAAATTGTAATTCTCCACCATCACCCGAACATAGTGAAACTATCGATACTGAAAGTGATGATGAAGATAGAATATCAACTATACAGAGCTTACCAAAGGTAATTAAACGAATTATAAATATTATATATATATTAAAAGAATTATATATTAATTTAAATATTTTTAGATTGTAGGTATTGGTTTACGAAGTGTTTTTACATTGATGAGAGAAAGTAGAACAATTGAACCTGCTTTGTGTACAAAAGCATTATCAGCTTTATTGGATGTATTACAAGGACAACTTCCTGAAGGCCTGAAATCTGAACCAGATGATGTTATTGGTAATATACACAAATTAATATATATATAAATTTATTGCTTTATAACAGATATTTTTAATTTTTCTTCCTTTTTTTTTTTTATAGATCCACTTTTTGACCTATTATTGGATCTTGCAACTTCACATGGGCCAGAATCAGCAGCTGCCAATGATGGAAGTCATTTAACTGCAGTTGCTTGTGCATGTTTATTGAGTCTTGTGGTTGTTAGAGGTGATACTGGTCGTTTGTTAGCAGCGATAGCAGCTTTACTTATGTGTCCAAGAGTATTAGCAATTCAAAATATTCAGGTAAATTTTTTTATCAAAATTTCATGATAGCATAATATGTATTTCTAAAAATTGTAAATTATATGTATATATGTATTCATTTTTTATAGATGCCATGTGTATTGACATCTTTGCAAAGAAGTGTACAAGCTGTTTTACTTGGAAAACTTGCACGACCAGACTGGATTACATATGGAGTTCCTAAATGTGCTAAGATTTATACGCTTAAGTTACCAAATGAGATAAATAATATAATATTAAATGGGCGAAGCTTTGTAAGTGATGGAAAGTACCTGTATCTACATACAAGTAGAGGATTATTGAAAATTGGCAGTGGTCATGGTGGAACTATTTGGGGTCATATGTATATTCAGAAGGCGGATTTTTATCCAACAGAAACGGGTTGGCTTGGTTATGCAAATGTTAGTATAATTAAATATTTTCTATGTAATTATATTTCTATATTTTTACATAAAAAGATTTTTCTAACATTTTTTTTTTTTTTTTTACAGAACACGCTGTATTTTAAGTATACACCTAGAAAACAGAGCGAGTTATTAATTATAGATGCGGAAACTCTTACAGTTACGGAAATTGCTGTTTTAGAAGGTCGTGATTGGTCATCCTCCGTTATGTTTTCTGATGGTGAATGTTTAGGAATGATAACTGCAGGAAAAGATGTTAGTTTCTTTTTTTTTTGTTTTTGAATCTGTATCGATAAAATGTTGGTTGAAAAAAATATATATAAATTTCATTAATTTCAACAGGATGGTTTTGTAGTCAGAACAATAAATACATTAAGTAATCCAGTAACAGTTGCATCAGAATTACCATTAAAATTAGCAAGAAAATGTGTAGATGTTTTTGGATATGCTACTTTTGATGAAGAACAAAGCACTCATACATTAAATCCAGGCTGTGATGATGAAATTGCTACAGTTATTGCAGGAAAAGAATTTGCATTGTTAAAAACCGTATCGGGAAAAGTAAGCAGTATAATTTTTTAATATATTAACATTTGCAAGTAGGAATGAAATATATGATTGTATCGTTTTTTTAAAGGTTCTATATAGCGGAAAAGGAACTTCTCTCGGTATGAAAAATAACACAAGGCCTAACAGATGGATGGAATTAACGCTTGGAAAAGGTCCAAGACCTGTAAATTTTGCAGCTGGTCATGATGGTCAACATGTTGTAATGGTAATGGATGATGGTTCGGTTTTATTTGCTGGTACTGCTAGACGTGGAGAAGATGGTGATAATAGTAAGCGTATTAATAACTTCTATGACATGAAATTCATAAATTCATAACATGTTTTGATATTTTCATCTATTTTTTTTATTTTTAGATAAAGTTAGGCGACAACCTAAACCAGTCAAACCAAAAAAAATAGCAAAAATAGAAGGACAATATATTGTGGATGCTGCTTGTAATAACGGATCAACAGCATTAGTTACAAAAGAAGGTTCTTTGCTGATGTTTGGCAAAGATACATTGCACAGCGATCCGGTTTCGGGGATAATTAACGATCTTAGAGATGTTTGCGTTGTTCATGTTTCATTAGGTAAAGCTCATGCTGCAGCATTAACTAATAAAGGACATTTGTACACATTTGGAATTAATAATAAAGGACAATGTGGAAGAGATTTTACTACAGTTCATAGCGCTATAAATAAAGATACTTCTTCTGTCGCTGTAGAAATGGGTACAGCAGAAGATGAACTTTTAGTAACTGAAGAAGGTAATTGTATATCCGTATATACATATTTTTAATATTTTTTCATATTATAAAAGAAAAAAGTATATATTTTCATATATACTTAGATGGTATGGAATCTACCGAAGATTGGGAAGAAACAAAAGGTATGTGTCCGCCTGGATTACATCAATGGAGGCATCGTGTTTGTATGGTTTGTACAGTATGCCGAGAATGTACTGGATATAGCATATCATGTTTAAGCAGTATACGCCCAGATCGAAATCCAGGCCAGTACGTATATTAATTTTATATTTATATATAAATAATAAATAACAAATTAAAAGACGTACTTTCAGGGAATGTGGATGTGGTGAAGGTGATAGTGGATGCGCGGAATGTGGATGTTGTCGTACTTGTGCAAGAAAAAGTTGTACTAATGGTAAAAATTCATTCTGAAGTTAAAATGATATTAATTGAACATTTCTGTATTTTGTTATATTGTATTGTATTTTAGGTAGATCAAGTTCAAATTTTCGAGAATATTTACAAAGATGCTTGGGAGAAATAAAACAAAAGCAGAGAACGAAGGCAGGTCCGAGTACTGCAAAATATGGAATGAAGTTGAAAGGTCCAAATAATCAAAGATTGGGTAATTATTTTACATAAAATAGATATATTGGATATATTATAAAATTAAATTAAATTATAATAATTAATATAACGATAAATTTTTTACAAAAATAGCTGGTCCAAGTGTGATCCAAAAAATTGCTGGAAAAATGGCATTAGGATTAGGTACTAATTTAATGAACGAAGAAGGTATTGGTGGAAGTGATATTGAACGAGGCGATGCTGCAAGAATTGCTAGTATACCACCAGCTAGAGTTCCTATACCTAATGAAAGTCCTGTGGTTCAAGTATCTTGTGGTTTACATCATACAGGTAATTAATACAAATTTATTTTATAATTTATTTATTTTATATTTTTTTAACAATGAAAATTGTTAAATCATTTTATATTTAGTGGTACTCTTACAAAATGGAGAAGTTTATACATTTGGAAGCAACATATATGGTCAGTTAGGTGTAGGAGATTTGATAGCACATGTTGGACCAGTACATGTTAAATTACCAGGAATTGCAACTCAAGTTGCTGCTGGAAGCAATCATACGGTTGTACTTACATCAAAGGGAGAAGTGTTTACATTTGGAGCTTATCAAGTTTGTACTAGTGTTAAAAAAAATCCATTATTCGATGATGATTAATTAAATAAAATAAATAATTAATATTTTTATATTTCATCACCCTCGTAGAAAGGGCAATTGGGCATAAATTGGTGGAACGGACAAAATGAACTTTCAAATTCTTCCCCTCAAATTAGTCGTCGTTCTGATAGGACGCAGCCACGCCATTGTTTTCCAACTGTAGTTCCAAATATTGGTCCACAATGGGGCAGACGAGCGACGTGGGTTGGTGCAAGTGGAGATCAAACTTATGTCAAAATTGATGAAATAAATTCTATTAGTTTAACACGGAGTACTGTTATGGCAAATAAAAATTGCATAAGTATGTCTTCTTTTTTGAATCATAGTTCCATCATTATATATTATCAAATGCATCTAATTATGAAAATAAAACTTGTTTCAGTTTTAATTCCACATCAAACTGATCATGCAAATTCTTTCAAATGTTTAGTTATAAGCAAAAGAGATGGTACATGCAATAGTTATAGTGGAACTGATCAAGTTGATTTCAATAATTGCGCTACGTGTTTAGATCCTTTATATAACGTGATTTGGACTTTCAATCCTATAAATAGTGAAATAAGTTTATATAATATTATATCAACGGAAGTTAGAACAATTCCTGGATTAGAAGTTTCTATTTTGAGTCCAGGTTTAACTTTACCCGTAGTATCGAATTGTTTCGTAACACGTTCTCAGGCTGCAATGCATTTATTGGGTTGTTTAGATACCCTTACACAAGCACAAGATGAAAATTTCTCTATAGTAGAAGAAAATGAATGTAACCAATCAACACACGGAAAAGTTTATAGTCGTGAAGATTTTGTCACGGTCAATAGATTTGAAAGTGCGTATAAAAAAAAAATCAGAGAAAGTAAAATTGTTTCTTATGTTTTTTTCTTTAGAAGTTTGAAAGAAAAATTAATTTATATTTATAGGCCATGGTGGTGGTTGGGGATATTCTGCACATTCAATCGAGGCTATTAGATTTATGCCTGATACTGATATTTTACTGGGTGGATATGGATTGTTTGGAGGTCGAGGAGAATATACGGCAAAAATAAAAGTGAATAATAATCGTTATATATTTAATTTTTAATATGTTATGCAAAATTATGATAAGATTTATTATTAAATATTATTCCAGCTCTTTGATATTGGAATGGATGGAGGGGATCAAGAAAATGATGGCGAGCTTTTAGCAGAATCTGAAGAAATACCATACGAATGTGGACCGCGACAAAAATATTCAATTTTATTTTACGAACCAATTCCTTTGCAAGCAAACAGATGGTACGTTGCATGGGCTAAAGTTAGCGGTCCATCTAGTGATTGTGGATCTGGTGGTCAAGGAATGGTCACAGCAGAAGATCAGTTAGTAAAATGCAACTTTTCCATGTGAAGTAATGTAAATTCTTTTCTTACGATGCGTTATAATTTTCATAATTTGCTTGTTTTACCAGAGTTATGTTTTATTTTAAATCTTCGAAAAGATCCAATAATGGAACCGATGTAAACGCTGGACAAATTCCGCAATTATTATATCGTATCGTAACACCCGAAAATCAAACTCCTAATAGGCAAAGGGATCGCATCGAACCAGTTTATGTATTAAAAAGAGATTTCAGCAGAACGGTTACTAAAGTACGTATAGTTAAGATATTACATAAAAGAAAAAAAAAAAAATAAGATGAATAAAAATACGAATAAATAATACGAATTAATTTTTTTTTTTTTTTTTTTAGGTAATGTTTTCAATCATTAATATCTCTCCTTCAATGGAGTTGGAATACATTAAAAGCAGCGTTAAGTGATATCGTGGTTCATAGCACTTCTTCTCACACGCTTGAAGTGGAGCGTTTAGTTTACATTAGTAAAGCTAGTTTACGATTACTTAGAATCTACACCAATGAAATTTATCCAAATCAAGGTGCATAATAAATTTTCTAAGGTATATTTGGTTCTATTTTAATTTAATATATGATGATTTGCAGTGGGGAAGAAAACTCCAGCTGAATCGGTTCGATTAGCAGAGTGCATAGGTGAAGTACGTGCATTGTTACATCAAATTTTGTCCGATACCGTACCGTTAAATGCTAAAAGCAAAGGAAAAACGCGATTAAACAAAAGTAAGTTTTTATAATTTTACAATTTTTTATTTTATATATATATATATATATATATATATATATATT